GGCTCCCTGCTCCGCGGGAAGCCTGCTTCTCCCTCTCCCACTCCCCCTGCTTCTGTTCCCTCTCTCCCTGTCTCTGTCTGTGGAAGGGGGGAAGGGAGGAAGGAAGGAAGGAAGAAAGAAAGAATTGAAAGCAGGAACTCAAACAATATTTGTTATCACGTTCATAGCATTATTCACAATAGCCAAATGATGGAAACAACCCAAATGTCCGTCAGTAGATGAATGAATAAACAAAATGTGATATATACATACAATGGAATGCTATTCAACGTTTAAAAAATGTAACTGATACATGCTACAATATGGGTGAACCTGTAAAACATTGTGCAAAGTGAAATAAGCCAGATTTTAAAAGGACCAATATTGTGGCGCCTGGCTGGCTCAGTCGGCGGAACACACTGGGTGTAAGATTACTTTAAAAAAATAAAATCTTAAAAAAAAAAAGGACCTATATTAATTCCACTTATATGCAGTACCCTAGGGTAGTCAAATTCATAGAGACAGAATGATGGTTGCCAGGGTCTTGGGGGAAGGAGAAATGGGAAGTTATTGTCTAATGGGGACAGAATCTGGTAAGGGAAGATGACAAAGTTCTGGAGATAGAATACACTTAAAGTCATTGAACTGTATACACTTTAAAGATGTTTAAAATGGTAAACTGTACATTTAGCACAATGAAATTTTAACGAGAAAAAGAACTACATTAGCATGTGGGCAAGGGGAAGACGAGAACTAAAGGCAGACCGAGTATTTAAGTAATGAAATGCTCCACGAACTTGTGTGTCATCCTTGCGCAGGGGCCATGCCAATCTTCTCTGTATCGTTCCAATTTTAGTATATGTGCTGCTGAAACAGCAGCAGTATCTAAGTAATTAAAATAAGAATTAATAAAATGCTAAATCAGTATCACCCAATAACAGGAGTTTGTAATCTCTTGGTCTGTGCCATAATCAGACTAGTGTGAGGTGTCATGTGTATTCTGAGGTACCTATTTTTAAAAACATACACCCAGGTGACAGTTACCAGGAAAGCGTGTCATAAATAGTGGCTGAAAGAGCAGGGCTATTCCCTGGAGAAGAGGAAGGTAAGGGGGACAGGATGGCTAGCTCCTCATATTTAAAAGCCGTCCTGGGGGTGCCTGGGTGGCTCAGTTGGTTAAGCGACTGCCTTCGGCTCAGGTCATGATCCTGGAGTCCTGGGATCGAGTCCCGCGTCCCGCATCGGGCTCCCTGCTCAGCAGGGAGTCTGCTTCTCCCTCTGACCTTCCTCCTTCTCATGCTCTCTGTCTCAAATAAATAAATAAAATCTTAAAAAAAAAAAAAAAAAGCCGTCCTGTAGAACATATTTTATGCTGCTCCATTACTCGGAACCAGAACTGGTGGCTGGAAGCGGGATTTTAGAGGTGAAAAGGCCGTCAGTGACTTTGTCCAAGCCCCTTACAGATGGAGCCACCTGCCTTGGACCACACAGCCCGTGAGGGCGGCCAGGTTTCCAAAGAGGGGGGATCCCAGCGCCAGGGGCCGGTGCTTTTCGGGGCGGCGAGCTGATTCCCCCAGCGCATCCCAAACCGTGTCAGCACCTTCACCTCCTCAGAATTAGCTCACTGTGCTCCCCTCCATTCTCCGGGGAAGCATCACCGCGTGGCGCGCTCCCTCCTTCACCCCCTCCCGACGCCCCCCGCCCTCCGCCGCCTCCGTGACCCCGGGCCGCAACCGGGCTCCCGCCCCCTCCGCACAGACGGAGGCATCCCCCCGTCTCCCTCGACCTCTGCAGACTGCGCTCGCCCGTCACCCTCCTGTCGCCGCACGTCGGGAGTCAGTCGGAGGATTCGCGCGACGGGGCTAGTGACTGCCGCCCCGCGAGCGTCCGGGGGGACGGAAGACGTGATCCTACGGAGCCTCGGAAGCCCGAAGGGCGTGTTTGTCCGTCAGAAGCCCGGCAGGAAAACAGAAGTCACTCCAAACACTCGAAACAGAACGTGCAGGATCAGGAACTGGTCTCACCGGAGCTGAAAGAGCAGGAGCGGGGGCTCTGAGGCGTCCCAAACACCCGCAACGGCGGCGAAGCCTCGGGCAGCCCCTCTCGCCTCCCCGGGCTCCGGCCAGCTCACACGCTGCGCCACCCACGGCCTGCCTGCCGGCGGGAGGCGACAACACAGCCCGCTCTGGGCGCCAAAGGAAGAGGAAGGAGATGCCCGGACGCCCCTCCCCTGCCCCTCTGCCCTCCTCCGCACCT